AAATGTTATCGGCGAATGTAGCGTTTTAGTTCTTAAAATATGACTCAAACTGATTAATTTGTTATGAAAATAGTTGAAGATGAATGCGACGGTAATAGATTAATCATTGTAGCTCTAACTGGAAGTTCACGTTTAGTATTATGGTTGTGGAGCTGTGAACAAATCCTACATTGTACTTGGTAATATTAACTTTTTTTGTTTTGTTTTGTTTTTTTTCGAGTGCTGCAACAGTCACTTAACAGAAGACCAAACACTCAGAAAACGACAAGGCTGCAGGGTGGCGCAGTTGGTAGCACTGTTGCCTCGCAGCAAGAAGGTTGCCGGTTCGCCCCGGAATCTTTCTGCGTGGAGTTTGCATGTTCTCCCCGTGCAGCGTGGGTTCTCTCCAGGTTCTCCGGCTTCCTCCCACACAGTCCAATAACATGTTGAGGTTAATTGGTGGTTCTAAATTGTCCGTAGGTGTGAATGTGAGTGTGCTTGGTTGTCTCTTAGTGTGACCCTGCGATGGACTGGTGACCTGTCCAGGGTGTCCCCTGCCTTCACCCTAAGTCAGCTGGGATAGACTCCAGCCCCCCATGACCCTAGTGAGGAGTAAGCGGTGTATAGAAAATGGATGGATGGATGTTAGAAGACAGGCGACAACAAAAACCTGTGCAAAAACGTCAGACAGAGCAAACTAAAGACATAAATGTGTATATTAATATTAATATAAAATACTAAAAAAGCAACATGAAACAGGATAACTACTTGCAAGATCATTTTCTAAAATGAAATAAACACAAAATGCTAACATTCTAAAACCACTATGAGCAACCAAAAGCCTCTGAAGGCATGTAAAAACATGAGCTTTTTCTTCAGTGGAGGAGGAACATTTGATTGAAAAACAGATGAAAAACTCTGGTTCACTTTGCAAAATAAAAACAACATTCAAAGCTGAAGACCCAAGTCTTTTAAATTCGTATTAATCATCAAAAACACTGAGAACGAGGCCAACCCACACTGTGTTCACAAAGTCAAAAGGTTGCCCGGAAGTACACCCTGCGAACACAAGCCATCAGCCATCAAGACGGAGCAGCAACCAGAGCTTTTTAAACTGCTGCGTTTGAATACTACAGTATCGGCCTCTCGGCGAGTATTTCTAGCTGCTCAGAGTGCACAGTTGCAGTTTTGTCCATGGCTTTCCCTTGGAAAATGTGCGAGCAGTCTCAGTAGGTAGTGAATGGGGTTAGCTCTCCAAAGGCCCGTGAAGGTTTGAGGAGGAGCGCAGTCTACAGGACAAGGTGACCCACTTACTTGAAAAAAACATTTCCTTCCTCTCTCTCAATCCCTCACTCCTGCTCTCCATTTCCTCCTTTCTTTTTAATAATCTCCTAGTTTTTCTGTGGTTTTATCTCACCTTCTTCTGTCTCTCTGCATTACAAGAGTAAGACGTCAAAAGAGATTCAGTGTTAAAGATCTACTAGCTACAGTCTGGCCTGATGTTAAATGCTGATGTTGTGACTTGACTTCACATAGGAAGTTAAAATATATGTATTGGAAGATCTGAAAAACAAGTTAGACCCACATTTATAAATGTGCAAGAAAGAAGTTTAAAGATTTTATTATAAAAAAAAGTTGTTCAACCCTCTGAATGCCAAAACCTGCTGGAGGTTTTGAAAGGCTTGTTGATTAAAAAAAAAAGAAGAAAAAAAATCCCCAAAGAAATTGCTGAGATGTGCAGTTTCATCAGCAAAATTAACCAGGTCTAATCTTAAAACTATGTCATTAAAATCACATTATTCTACGTGTCTCATTGCCAAAACAGTCGCAAAATTAAACTGTTTGCACAAAACCCTATTTTAAAAAAAAGAAAAAGCAATAAAGAATAAATCCTCCGTTCCTCAACACAACTATGAAACCACAGTTAACTCAGCTGCAACCAGCTGCCGAGGTTTCAGCTTTACTGCAGGCTGTGTAGAGACCGAGAGTTAAAGTTTCCTGGTTTTATTTGAATTTAAATTTCCCTGGAACTGTCTTTAATTTATCCCAATAATATTTTTAAATTTCTAGTACTGCTTTTTTAAAGTGCCCTGTCTTCTTTTTATCTGCCTCTGAAATTCTGATAATTTAATATCTGTTTTATTTCTGAAGCACTTTGCAACATGAACTTTGAAAAGTGCTTCATAAATAAGATTGTTCTTATTAGTGTGGAAAATGATGCATTTTTAGAGGTCGTTAAAAATGTAAATAGTTGAATATATATAGCATGTAGAGCCACCGTTGTCTTTCTTCTGATTTATGACATTATACGTGTGTCATTCTTCAGAGTAAACATGTTTGAGTTCTCTCTCCTTCTAGCCATGGTCGTGCTGTTTCCACAGAGGTGCAGTGAAAAATGAGCCCACAGTCACCAAAAATGCAACAAGAGTAAAAACAACACCCTAGGCGTGTTCGGTGTTGAGAGGGTTAATGTTACTTCCCTGCTTCAACGTACTCGCTGTGAAGTTACTGTGATTTTTACAGCGTACTTCAGGCCCTTGATGGCATTTGTTTTACCATCCCATCTGTTGTGGGAAGTGCTGTTATGACGGCTGACCACTAAGTGGAGCTCCATTATCGTGTCAGGCGCATCAGCCGGCTCCACTGCTGTAGTCTCAGCTCCATGGACGGATGAGGAAATGTTCACTTTTATTTGTTTTCTAAGCAAAATCTGCATGTATTCATTAAACTGTAGCGGAATCATAATATCTCAGCAGGCGTTCTTGTATCGTACTGATCCTCTTGTGGAAGCTTTTTAGCCTCCATAATTTGCCAGTTTGATGTTTTTCTTGTCTTGCGTTGCCAAATCCTGGGAAGCTCCCCGTGCGGCCTTCAGTGCGTCTTGTCTCCTACCCAGAAGCCACTGCAGCTCTGTGGGTCAGAGCCAGCCCATATTCTGCCCCACTTACCACTGACACGTGCCTGCTGGCCTCTGAATGTCGCCTCTGCATAACTGGTTTGTGTGTGTCAGTGTGCAGTGGGTGGACGAAATGACTGTCACTGGGGTTTGTTTTGTGTTTTTTTTCAGCCTTCTGAGCAGGTAGTTTGAAGGGCTGAACAAATAATAATTATAGTAATATAGCCAAATACAATATCATAATTGCATGAGCTGCAAATCTTTGATAAAGGCTAAATGTGTCACTGCTATAAATGAGGTCTTGTGATGTTACAGAGACTACAAATCATATTCTGTTTCAGTGGAAAAGCAAAGTAAAAATTACTATTCCTTCAAAAGTTGTGTCTCACATCACAATATCTGTCAAAATACTTGCAATATGATTTTTTTTCTAGTAGTTTGACATGTTGTTAACCCTTTAACCCTCAGGTTTCTCCTAAAGCAGCTCTAAAGTTGCATGAAACACTTTTTCGATGCTGTGTGACCAGTCGTAGAAGAAATATTCACATCCTTTACTACAGTGACAGTACTAATACTGCACTGTAAAAGTACTCTGCTACGAGTAAAAGCCTGTATTCAAAAAAGTGCTTTTATTTAAATGTACTTAAAATATAAAAAAGTGAAAGTACTCAATGCAGAAAAATGCCTCCTGTGACTTCCATACAGTTATATATCATGTCATTATCATTATTCCACAGTTCACTCTGAACTAATAACTACAACTAATGATTATTTTTATTATGGATTAATCTGTTGACAATTGTTTTTATTACTCTGTGATTGTGTGGTTTGTAAAAAAAAATGCTGAAAATAGCAAGAAATGCTGTCATCAGGGCTCAAAGCAACTAGTTGCAAATGTTCTGCCTGTTGATTAATTGATTAATCTTCTCAGCTGAACTGTTCTGCTCTTTGAATATTTACAAAACATCATATTTTATAAGTTCTTCATAATGTTTGTGTGGCAAAATATTGAGTAAAGCTATCAGATAAATGTGGTGGAGTAGAAAGTGCAATGTTTCTGTCTGAGATGTAGTGAACTGTCATAAAAGAAAACACCTTATTTTTGTGTGTAAGTACAATACTGGAGTAAATGTCGTCATTTTAGTTCAACTAGTGTGCATGACTGCCGTGTGTATGTGTTCTGGTGTTCTGCAGATGGTTTTCAGAAGTATTCTGTAATATTTTAGTTCATTACTAAAGTTTTTACAATTGCAATGTGGTATCAAATAGAAATCCATCCATCCATCCATTATCTATACACCGCTTAATCCTCACTAGGGTCACGGGGGGTGCTGGAGTCTATCCCAGCTGACTTAGGGTGAAGGCAGGGGACACCCTGGACAGGTCACCAGTCTATCACAGGGCTACACTTAGAGACAGACAACCAAGCACACTCACATTCACACCTACGGACAATTTAGAATCACCAATTAACCTCAACATGTTTTTGGACTGTGGGAAGAAGCCGGAGATCCCAGAGAGAACCCACGCGAAAGATCCCGGGTGTCCTCACTGGGACGCGAACCGGCGACCGTCTAGCTGCGAGGCAACAGTGCAAACCACTGCGTCACCTTGCAGCCTCCCTGAAAACATGATCTGTGACATTTTAGGTTATCTTTAAAATGTTTTTGAAGTGCGTTTTATTTCTCTACATCTTCATCTTACAAAGTTAGATGATTAATAAATAAGGGTGATAAATCACTGATTCACTTTAATGAAGATATCAACATATATTATGTTCCTGCTGTCACCGTCAAAGCTGGGCAGCATGGTATCATACATTCACTCATTTTAACTTAAAAATCTGAAAAAAAATAACTACTTTATACCAACTGTGATTAAACAAAACAGAAGAACAAAACTAGTCCTCCATTGTATTGTCTCTGTCTCAGTTTTCTTATATTTATTATTCTTGTTAACAGGAATGATGACAGAGAAAAGCTTCATCAAATGCTTCATAGGTGTTATCTGTTGTTTTTGGCTCTGAAAAAGTGGCAGTAGTTGTACCTGCTACATCTATATTAAATATTCAGGTTGTGCTTAATCATCCAGCACTGACAAGTTGTGTTTTATTTTCTTCTGTCAGTCCCAGCGGTCATGGTGAGGGAGTAGGAACCCGGAGGAAGCTGTACAGTGCTGTACCTGGGAGACATTTTGTGGTGGTTCGTTCTTACACTGCCCAGGCCGAAGGGGAGATTAACCTCTACAAAGGCGACAGGGTCAAAGGTGAGACTCCTTACGTTGTTCTGGTTTACTTGGTTTTTCATCCCTGAAGGATTCCCAGCCTCGACGTCCAGTATATCCACTGCATCAGCTGTTTTAGCTACTGTACATACTCCTTCTGAAATTACTTTCTGTGCATGTACTTTTTTACTTTCCATCACTGACCCCAGCCAGGGAAGCTCCCTCCCCCAGTATAAATGCTGAAAATCAAAAAGCGAATAAAAGGCACTGATTCATTTCATAATTGTGTCTGTGAACAAGACAACTAGAAATCAAACAGCACATTAGCATATCTGATGAAAATGACTCCCTTGGCTCCACAAATGCAGAGAAATAACATCCTCCTCATCTGACGTTAAGTCGATTTCAGCGCAGGATCCATTATTTACTAAGGAATCAAGGAGGAAGTGCACATGCCAAAAACATCTATGTTAAGACTCCGTTAACGTGTGCGTAGAATATCTATTTTTAATGCCCAACAGTAATGGTTTGTCAACGATAATTACTGAGCCATATTTATTTTTACAACTGAACTTGCTGTTAAAATGCTACAGCTGCTGTTTAACAAGTAGCTTCACAAACTGGTTTCTAAGCCAAAACGGGAGATAAAGTGTCAGTGTCCACAGAACCCATAAGACTGGTGGACAAAACTCTGCAGACTGAAAACCCCAAGACACACACACACATATAAAAAACATCTCTTCCAGACAAACTGATACAAATAAAGACGGCACACAAAGTGCAAATGTGGCGAAGTCCATCACACCTGATGCAGAAATGATGCGGTTGCCGGGATATGTGCACAGTGACATGAAAATATTCAAATATTCAAATTACTCAAGAGTCATTACAAAGAGCCAAACTATGTATAGCCTAGAGCGCATTTAATGGGCAAACACACAGCCTGCAGGTCAGTTGAAAAGCTGAAAATCCAATGATGTTTTTACAGTTTCTTCCTCTGATAAGTGGTGTTAAAAAAACAGCAACTCTAAACAAGCCTTTCTGTAAAGAAAAGAAGCAAAGAAACATAACTTTTTATATGATTTACGACATTATAACTGTGTCATTCTGCACAGATGACATTTCTAAGTTCTCTCTACTTCCAGCCGTGGTTGGGCTGTTTGCAAAGAGGTTCATGACTTTATATTGCAGTGAAAAATGAACCTGCAATGAGTGAAAATTTGACAGGAATGAGAAAAAAACAAGTTGCCACCAACTGTTTAGAGGGTATATTTGTGTTGCAAACTCCTCTCATGCAGGGAAACTTTGTTCCGAATTACAGAAATTTATTTTGAAGGCACACAACTTGTAGAATATTTGTTTGTGATTTATTTTGCCATAAAGACATTAAGTTCTGGCTTTAAAGACTTCAATCGATGTACTGTCAAGCAGGAAAACTTCGCTTCTGGTTTTTAACATCCTTACATTTTAAAATATTTCTTCTTGTAAATACAAATAAAAGACTCCCTTCATAAAAAACTCCACATAAACACCATAAATTCAAACATTTTCCCACAAATTGATCTTGTATTTCCACAGAGGAGTATTTTCAGGCAGCAGCTGGGACCTCCTGCAGCTTGCGGTGTCAACGGATGGCATTTAATCACAACCTCTAGCAGAGACAGGAGACAGATTTTGCTAATAATGCATCTCATGAATATTGTCGCATTGTTTTATTGCACCTAACAGTCGGTTGTGTTTCTCCAGGTTCTGTCAGCGTCAGTGTTGATATAATGTAAGAGACTTTGTATAAGTAGAGACCTTTGCTTTCATGTTGCTATTTAAATGTGACATTTAAATGAAGTGCTTTAATGATCTCTGTGGACACGCTGTTCCCTTATTTCAGTTTGTGCTGATGTCTTTACCACTATCTTCTCACTACTTCCCTAACTCTTACCCTCCTCTCCTCTCTCTCTCCCTCCACTTGGTCCAGTTCTGAGCATCGGAGAGGGGGGTTTCTGGGAGGGCAGCGCCCGCGGCCAGGTGGGCTGGTTTCCAGCCGACTGTGTGGAGGAGATCCCGGCCAAGGCCACCGAGGAGAGGAGCTGTAAGTGTAATCACCTGGGGCTGGAGGTGGGACGTTGAGTTATGTAGGACATGCACTGTTTGCCCAGTTTTGGAGAGAGAGGGAGGAGTGGATACAAAGGAAAGGCTAAATGCTGTTGGTTCCTGAAGCGCTGTGATGGCATGTGGTGTTTCTTCCTCCAGTGCCTGAGCTGCATGTGTGTCAGCTCCTCTGTCTGCTCGTCTCCCGTCTCTTTCCGTCTCCCCCGGCAGTGCTGCACAAAGCTAAGCGCTATATTGCCCTGCTAACTCAGCTGTGCTCTGATGTCTTCTGGGTGCAAGCTAATGAACATATCACGCCATGCTCCATCCCCCATAAATATCCCATCTTTCCTTGTCCTGACTTTCACTGACTCGCTGTGCTTGTAACGAGTGTGTCTATGAGAGGCAGCAGGTTTTAGGAAAGGCCCGTCTTCCTCCTGTCGGTCCCGCTCTCATCCCTGTTCCATGATCTTTTCCATATTCACTGGCGGTGTTTAATTATTGACATTATCACAAAGCACAGCGTTGCCAGAGTCAACACCCACCCGCTCTCTTAGTCTCCCCTGCTCTGAGGAGTATGTCAGCGATGATCGAGGCAGATGGGGAGCAACTTGTTCTTCCCTCGCTCTGGCTGTTTGCCTTCGTTCTGGGTGGCTTATTTTAAAGCCTAACCCAAGGCCATTGGCACGGGGAGCTCCTCTCACACTGTGCACCATCCAAATTGCCCCCAGGTCTGCCTGCAAAGAAAGCCTGTCAGAAAATGGGAGCACAGTATGGCGGCTTGCAAAGACCCATTCAGAGGCGGCAGCGGCCAAGTCCACGGGTCACCTGCATGTGTGCGTGCTGCACTGGGGTGGGTGCTGAATGTGGCCTGAATGAAGCCTAACAGGTCCTGATTGAGGAAATCACAGGCCAGTGTCAAAAGCATTTTTATGCCAGAATGATTGCCATTTGGCAAGTCATCAGAGAGGAAGTTTGAAGTTAGTTTGAGTCAAAGTACAGCTTTTATCCATCTTTTAACCAGTCGTGTGTCATCCAGCCGTCCTCGGCCTGTATCTAGACACCAACTGTAGCGAACCAGAGAAAATCTAGACTGACTGAAACCACACCTACTCTTTATCCAATTGATTGGTCTCAGGGAACGTCTTATTAAGCTCAATGAAGTCTCACATTAAAATTTTAGTACTTGCCACACCGATGACATCTTTGACATGGTTTTAGTAAGTTTGGAGCCAACCAGTTCTGTTTCTCTGTGGTTTGTTTACATCTGTTTCTGGTCTTTTTGTTACTCATTTGTGGCTCTTGGTATTTGTTTTGCGGAACTTTTTAAGGCTGTTTGCATTGGTTCTGCATCTGTTTGTGTTAATTTTCGATTTTAGTCTCTTTTTGGGCATTTTGCATTTATTTGTGGTAATTTTGCTTCACTTTTTTCATTGCTTTATGCCTCTTTTTAGTTGTTTCGGGTCTCTTTGTTGTGGCTTAACATATCTTGGCAACCATTTTGTATCTAGCAGTGATCGCTGTGTGTGTCTTTGAATCTGTTTGCTTTGAAATAGCATCTTTTTTAGGTCATTTTGTGCCTCTTTGTTGTTGTTTGCGTATTTTTGCCACCACTGTGTGGCCCATGGTATTTGCTTTAGGTAATTTTGTGTGTCTTTGGTGTTGTTTTGTCTCTGTTTGGCATGGTGTCACTTAGTTTGATGCAGACTGTGAGTAAACTTTCAGGAAACGTGAAAAACTTAGCAGTCCGTTGCTTTGAATGCATTGAATACAGAGCTGCACCCTCGAGGCTCTTAGCTTAGCTTAGCTTAGCATACAGACAGAAAGCAGGGGGAAACAGCGAGCCTGGCTCTGTACAGCAGCACTTCTTTGGTTAATGTGCAGATCGTTTCTCTGTGCCACACACAACACGTCATTCTGTTATTTTTACAAGAAGCATCTCCATGAGGTTGCCTGGCAACCAATAAAGAGGCTGCACAGATTTTGTGGCAGAACACATGTACTGCTGTTTGTCAGGAAATAGGTCCAACGTGTACAGTAACTTGTGCTAAAAGTAGTTTTAAAGACGTTTTTTCAGGTATTTATAAATCTGCAACCAAATTCATACGTGTTTGAAATCGTCAGAGATCCAAAAGGGCAAACTGTTTACAGACAGTATTTCTAAACATCTAAAGCTGCCTACGAAAGCATTTGTTAAGGTAATTATTCAATGCCTACATCATCATTTATTCATCCAGAGTGGAACGGTTCAGTCCCACAACACACTTTCTCTGCACTGTACAGGCTCCGCTGTTGTACATTTTGTGAATGTGATGGAATATCGCTGCCAGCTTAAGAGATACCCAGACATCATAATGCTCCATTTATTTACACTGAATGCTCACAAATTACTCCCTTTTTTCAATATAGCAAGCCAGAGGAGTGTAGTGTTTATTTTAAACAAGCAATATTCTCTGTCCTGAGTAAGAAAAGCACTTGAATGATGGGTTATGTATATTAGTGAATAATATTTCTTTCT